CCACGTCTGCATGCGAGATAAAATTTCAGGTATCTGATAAATAGCAAAACCATGTTTTGTTTGTTTGAAAGGCGAGGACGGGCAGGCGTGCACGATGCTGGTGCGGACCCTGCATTGGATGGTGCCGTCATACTCCATCTGGGGCTTGCCATTCTTCCTGTTTTACTCGACACGTTTCTCTCAGTTCTTCTACGAGCGGCCCAACCAGGGCTTCTTCAGATCCCTCCTGTGCCGCCTCACGAGCCCACTGGTAAGTATGTGTACGTCATAATTCGCAGCCGTGAAGAACATTACTTATTGCAAAAACCATGCATGCACAACTTTGTCATGACAGCAGCAACCATGCATGCATGCATGCATGAATTTTGGTGGTGCAGAGGGCAGGTGTGTCGAAGTTCATCGAGTCGTACCTGTCGTGGAAGCTGCCGCTGGCCAAGTATGGTCTAACGCCGGACCACCGCTTCGTCGAGGACTATGCCAGCTGCCAACTGGCCTTCCTCCCGGAGGGCTTCTTCGACATGGCGGACCGCGGCCTGCTGCGCTTCAAGAGGGCCCCCGACGGCTGGTGGCTCTCGGAGAACGGCGTCGTCCTCAAGGACGGCACGGAGGTGGAGGCCGACCTCGTCTTCCTCGCGACCGGCTTCGAGGGCACGGACAAGCTCCGCGAGGTCCTCCCCAAGCCCTTCCGCGGCGTCCTCGTCAACAAGTCCTCCATGATACCGCTCTACCAGTACGTGTACAGTAGTATGTTTATCGTCGGCTCCACGTGCATGCATGTACCCAGTGGCTGATGACTGATGTGTCTGTGCAGCGGCACGATCCACCCGCTGATCCCGAACATGGCGTTCGTGGGGTTCGTGGAGAGCGCGTCGAACCTGCGCACATCCGAGCTGCGATGCCGATGGCTAGCGGGGCTGCTGGAGGGGCGGTTCGAGCTGCCGACGGTGAAGGCCATGATGGGGCACGTCGCCAGCGAGGCCGACGCCATGCGTCGCACCACGCGGTTCTATCGCCGCCACTGCATCTCCACCTACAGCATCCACGACAAGGACGGCATGAGCGCCGACCTAAGCTCGGCCACGCTCCGCAAGGCCAACTGGATCGCCGAGCTCTTGGCGCCAAACAACAAGCAGGACTACTAGGAACAGTAACTACATTTACTCGACCGCGTCAACAGACGAGCGGTCGAGTACGTACGTGATTCTGGGTTATATTCTTGTACTCTACAGTGTTAATGTACTAGTACATTCACTCGACCGCAGCTAGCTAAACAATAATATCGCTAATAAGAATTTCTATAGACGTATGTAATATGCTGAACTACTGGGAAATACATTTTGGTTCCTGGTTGTATTTACGTGGGATTTTTTTAAATAATTAAACAAAAAGGCAAAATCGTTCATAAGTATTTTTAGAATAAACTTGACTTACTTTTGCATGAGTATATAAATTTTGACGAACAAAAAACCAATGTTGACTTCGGAGCGAAAAAGACAATTTGTTTGCTATTATATGTCACTATTCACATTATTTTAACCAAAAATTTGTCTTCTTTGAAAAGAAGTCAAAGGGGAACTTTCTTTTTATGAAAGTTTTCTCACAAGTACAATGAAAGGTCAAGTTTATTTCAAAAATATTTTCAGAATTTTTTTACTTTTGTTGAATTACTAAAAAAAATCCATATAGGGTGTAGATGTTCCCATAGATCAAACGTCCGCGTCCCTGAACAACTGCACTTATTTTGACCTCCGTGTTGCGGGTGGGATGGGGGTTGTGGAGCCTGACCAGGAGAAATCCATGGCTGGCCGCCGCGGCACCCAAGGGCGCCATTCTTCCTCCTTGGAGGCGTTTTTCAGGTCAGCCTTCCTCCACCCACCATCATCTAGCCTCCCGGGTGAAAGCCCTAACCTTGGTGGGCGGCGATGACGCTCTCGGTGCCCTTCTCCTTGAAGGCGCCGCCTTTGGGAACTATTTGCTTGGTGAACGATGTTGGCGTGTGTTTGGTGGCAGCCTTGGTGTGTCCTCTTCATCCAAGTTTGATGATATCCCTCCTGTGCGGTCGGATCGTGGGAAATTCTGCTTGAGAGAAGCTTTGGCGACTCATCGGGTGTACGTGGATCCTCTCTATGTGTCCATCCTCCGGCCGCAACAACATTGTTGTTCTAGGTGGAACGTCTTCATCTTCCGACGGTGCGGCGCTTATCGATCCAGGCGAAGAGGTTGTGTCCTCCTTCGGAGATGGAATTGGATGGTTGTGTGTCCTCCTTCAGAGATGGAATTGGATGGTTGTGTCGTGCCGGGACCCGTAGTTGTTTGGTGATCACATTCCCTGTTGATGTCGGTCGTCCCTTCTCCTCCATGTCGGCATGGTCCTAGTTCCTTGGTGCTTCGTTCTCGGAGGAGGGCCTCGATGCCTTCAGCTACGTGCTTCTTTTATTTATCCTTCTAGTTTGTAGCGTTTGAGGCTCTGTTAGCTGCTTGCTTTCTAGCGCATACGTATCTTACCTTTTTTTTGTATTTCCTTCCTTAAGTTCCGTGTGATATGTAATCATGGCCGGTCGATGGCTATTTTAATTTAAAGTCGGGCTAGGCTCGAGCCCCATCTCTAAAAAACGTATGTAACATGCTTCATCGGTATTGTACCTTTGTGTAAGTCGTCATATTATGAGAAAAGCTTTTGTTCTGCTTTATAAATAAAGCTACTAGCAAGTCATTGCGCAACGAGGTGCTACCTTCTACACGTGCGGTGGCCGGCTGGTGGTGCTACGGTCCACGTCTTGGCGGTGATTATTCAGATTCGGTCGGGCAGATGGTGGTGACTACAAACTGTATTGTAGTGATTTCCTACGGCCCCACGACGACATTGGTCATTAAGAGGTTTTCGGCAGGGTTCATCTCTCCTGATCCGGTGGTTGACTTCGGAGGTGAGATACAACTTATGGACGGCGGTTTGACAAAGAGGGGTGGTGTCGCATCGCAAGTAGCTGCTGGGATTGCAAAAAAACGACAACACACGATTGACCTCGATGGTGATGCTATCAAGCACCCGGTCTCGAGTTCCAGGATAAAAGCCTAGGTCAGACCCGAGTGGTTACACCTGACACTGGCGATGGTTGTCTTACTTCATTAGTCGTTATCTTGTTGAAGGCATTGCTCGGACAGATTATTGAGGGTGAAGACTTAGATTATGGCCTTGTGGTTGGATCCGGTGACGGCGGCACTTGAGTGTCGCTTCGTTCCTAAAAGTGTTGTTGTTGAAAAATCTCATCGTTCATGTGGTGTCATGAGATAGTTGGTGCGAATATGATTATTATTATAGTTTGCCGATCGCAGATCTGATAGTTTTGGGAAAAAATATCTCGCCTACGCATAGCATTGGTCTTATATGACTTTGCGAGTTGTCGTATACATTTTCGCATTTGTGAGTGCGTGTTGGCTGTGTGTATCCTACCTATGCTGAGGCACGACGTGTGCTTATCGTATTATGTATCATCTTGATGTTTCATTTTAAACCAATAAAATCCACGCTTTGTCAAGAAAAATAGGCAAGATGGTGAACAATGATCAAGTACCAGGTCATGCACAACCATTATTTCGAGTCAAGTGTCGTGTGTGAACCAAGGAAGCGTTCGTTATGGTCGATCGATCTCAGAGGAATATTTCATTATTTCGAGTCAAGTGTCGTGTGTGAACCAAGGAAGCGTTCCGTTATGGTCGATCGATCTCAGAGGAATATTTCAGCTGGATCGGGACGATGTGGATGCCGGAGCACGTAGGCTATTGTAGGTCGTTGCGTTATCCTGTACGTCCCCTGTAGTGTTTCTTTGATCAGTATAACTGTAGTGGTTTTATGAGCATGCAATGGAATTCATCATATCGTTTAATGTTGGGCAGCAACTTACACTCCGGTTGACGGTTGTTGCTGCATGCGTCGTTAAGTTCAACATATTGAAAATTGGCTACTTCACTGAAAAGAGCTTTTACGTGTTAAAAACATTCATCGTTCGAAAGACAAGTCGGAGGTTTCAAAGTGGAAGCCTAAATGTTGAACCAGATCAAGTTAAACTTGAAAAGAATAGTCGATATTTGGTACTTCCTCCTTATCAAAATACAAGACGGTTTTATATAAGGGTGTGTCTAGGCCTCATCTAGATGTGACATAACTATGTCACATCTAAGTATGACATCATCATTGTTTGTGGCCCTCTTGTTTGTTTGTTTGTCCCTAGTCTGTATTTTTTTTGTTGTGTTGATTAGTCGCTCCAGCCCTCATCTAAGTATGACATCATCCTGCTATCGCGGGACGTGCGTACAAAATACTTAAGCATTCCGTGGCTCCTTGCAAAAAAGCACCAAACTATAACAGCTCTGATTAGCTAGTTATTTCCCACCTTGAAAAACTAGTTACGTTCCCTTGCCTCGGGAAAAGAAGCTAGTTACGTGCCTTCCAATTAGCAGGTTACGATTAAACAACGCAAGAACTAACTTAATTTGAAAAATGTTCATGAATTAAAAAACGTCTAAGATTTCAAGAATTGTTCGTGATTATGAGTAAATGTTATTCAAAAAATGTTCATGAATTTACAAAATTATTTGTGAATTCAAGAAATGTTCGCAAATTTGAAAAATGTTCACAAGTTGATAAATTGTTTATCATTTTTTTGAAAAAAAACATAAATTCAAAAAGTGTGCATGATTCTAAAAAATGTCAAAATTTAAAAAATATTCATGATTTTGTAAAATGTTCAAAGATTTAAAGAATGTGAATGAATTCAAAAAATCTTCTCTTTATTTCAAAACATGTTCATGGATTTGTAAATTGTTCCCATATTTCTAAAAGCGTTACAGTATTTCTATAAGTTCTCCAAAAGTTTTAAAAAATTGTTCAAGGTTTTGGATTTTTTTCCTATAGTTTAAAAATTGTTCTTGAATTTCAAAATTGTTCCCGTATTTCAAAGATTGTTCATGTATCTGCAAAAATTGTTCTCGAATTTGTAAATTGTCCCGTATTTCAAATAAAGTCATGAAAATAGTTCACAAATTTCAAAACAATGTTTGTGATTTTCTATAATGCCCACGGATCTAAAGAATTCACGGATTTGAAAAAGGAATATGGTAATAAAAATAGAAAAATAAAGGCAAACAGAAAAATAGGAAAAAGAAAATAACTCAGAAAAACATTTCACGGAAGGTTCTAGGAACATCCCAAAACCGGTGGGGAAGTAACCTATAATGGATCGGCTCGTTACCGCATGTGCTCGACCGCTCGTGTCCAAGATGCGTGAGTGCTTGCAATTCCTTGTGGTACGCAAGGAATAGGATTCCCCGATGGTACAAAGAAAAAAAAATACTTGCATTGGGCTGGCCTGGCACAGGTTCCTCCATGTGTACTTGTTGATCTTGCCTAACGGTTTAAGACATAAGAGTACTACTACTAACAAACAAAAAAACACAACACTTCCCCCTTCCTCCTTTACAAAAGAGCATGTAACAAGAAACACAGAAAGAAAAGCCCATGAAAAATGACCAGCAAAACACAAACGGAGGCCGAGATAAAATACATGGGTTTTACAAAAGCAAACCTGAATCGAGTGGGCCGACAACTGGGCTAGAACTAAGTGGACTTGCAACTGGAACAAAAATGGGTTGAGCCCCTAGTTGCGCATCATGGATGGGGTTGCGACTAGGACAAAAATGGGTTGGCCCCCCATTGCATACTAAGGATGGATATACAACTAGGACAAAAAAGTGGCCCCAATTGCACTTAAATGGTGTAGTTGGACTTACAACTAGGACAAAAAATGGGTCGGGCGCTAGTTATGTCGACTGCGGACTTGCACCTGGGAAAAGAAAAAATGGGAGCCCCCCAATTTCATGTCGGAACTGAAGTTGCAACTCGAATAAAAATGTCCCCCATTTGGGCAAAGAAGGGAAACAAACAAAGGTCAGCCACAAATTGCGAGTCGAGGGTAGGCTTACAACTAAGGAAAGAATAACTAAAAGGCCAGTTGTGATCTGATCGTGGGCTTGCTATTGGGAACAAACTACGGGCCTGGTTCCAAGTCGCAGGTGGAGTTGCAACCGGGGTGACAAATGCACTATAGGCCTAGTTACGAGTCGATGGTGTGCTTGCAACTAGGAT